TCCACATTGTTCATTCGTGTTAGCAATAAAAGTACAATAATGTTCCGATTGGTCCCGACTAGGGCACCAATTCTCCAGTGTATTACGGTGACACTTAATTCTAGCGTAGTATAAAGACAAACAGTTGCCTTCAATATTGATTAATATATTTCAAAGCCCCATAGAGTTGGTTCATCACATAGTTTACCAAACACAATATGCACTTAATAATATGAACAAACAACTCGCACAAATCGTTTCGCTACCTTGGCATAGGTGTATTTTAACTGCGAGTCATTTATTTAACAAGTGGCTCGCCTTTCCTACATCAACAACATGATATATAGATTTGTCGTGTTTTTATTCCACACTTGAAAATAGCGAAAGATAACAACCGATAGTGTAAGTATAGACATGTATGATGAAGAATGAGAAGATGTTTCCGTAGATTTGTTTGACGTTCGTGTGAAAAATCCAATTGGATGTTTATCATACATTCTAAAAATGATAAATGAAATGGCGTGCTAAAAAATTCCCTTAGCTTATACATCATTGTACATTAACATGAGAAATGTGTTAATAAAGGAAAGGATTCAATTGTGCTTGCGACAGGGGTGTGTCATGATCAAGGACCGGATTCAATTACTTAACACTTTAGTCTGATTTTCCTGTGAATTGTTTAAATTAGGTTGTATTCTTTAACCATGCACCTTTCTTAATCAGATTCTTTGTGTGTTGGTTGAGACACATTTCACTCTATTAACATTTTACACGCGTCCAGACGAGCAGAAAACATACCAAATTGTAAGAAAAATGAGCTGATCAGAAAAAAACACAAAATATACTGGTCACGTTACAGTTTTCAACTATCCGGCAACTGTTTTGGTTTCCATATACTTGTGCTGCAAAGACTTAATGGAAACCCCTCATATCCTTCAGATAAGAATGTGTTTATATTTCTATTGAACTAAAATCTACGTCTCCCCATGCGTTTCTGATTACTCATACAGTTGAATGTCTTTTTCCCGACACTTTGATTTATAAAATTGATATCAATAACGTTTGGCATTAACGCACTAGGTTTTGCACTTGGAGACCACATATCAATTGACAAATGACCAATGGATTGTAGCGTTTCCTATTCTCCATTTCCTGCAGTGGATTGTTAAAAGTTGTAGCTCTGGTAAATACAGATGCAACACTGGTGTGGAGCAAAAATAGTTCACCAACTGGGGTTTTTGTTTTGGGAAGGGGTGGAGGGGGGATTAGTGTTTTTCGACCTGAAAATAGATATCGTGTAAATTTCCGTGGTCACATCTATCTGAATTTGGAACACTATATCTTGACAGTTTAACTACGCTATGTTCGGCAGGTCACTGTAAATGCTTTCTATGAGTAATTGGCTTTGCTGTCTCAGACTTATAGTATAGAGTAGGAGCAATGAATTTTACGGAGAAGTCATTGGATGTCGTGAGACAGGTAGGAAACCTTTACTGCAAGGTAATTTAACATTTTGTAGATATTTTTCTCAGGACTAATTGCTATTGCCATAGAAACATTTTGTTGGGGCCATAACTACAAAAACTGCATATCGCCAGTGGAAGAATACATAGGCTGCTATTGTATCTGTATCTGGATTGACAAATCAGAAGTTCTTCTTGCAAAAATGTATAAAACACACGGAATCAAACGATAAAGCGTCCATAATCTGAGGAAGCGACATATGACATGTAGTTTGACGGATGAGTGTGATATATGAACATACAAGTTATCTGTATTGCTTATTTATAAAATCTTCCCACAATCGCTGTAGATGTGGACTACATTTCACGTTTTTTCCTTTTTTGTAAATAAATAATTAGCTGACCATAAATACGCATACGAGCAAATTTTCAACTCCGAGATTATACTCAGATTTAGCGGACAAGATAACCATGTGTCGGTTTATACAAATCATCGAATGCTGCCATCTGAACAACACATTTAGGAATAGGATCGTACAAGGAACATTTCACATCTATGAATAGGATTGCACAAGGATCATTTCACATCTAGGAATAGGGTTGCACAAGGATCATTTCACATCTAGGAATAGGATTGCACAAGGATCATTTCACATCTAGGAATAGGGTTGCACAAGGATCATTTCACATCTAGGAATAGGATTGCACAAGGATCAATTCACATCTAGGAATAGGATTGCACAAGGAACATTTGACATCTAGGAATAGGATTGCACAAGGATCATTTCACATCTAGGAATAGGATTGCACAAGGATAATTTCACATCTAGGAATAGGGTTGCACAAGGATCATTTCACATCTAGGAATAGGCTTGCACAAGGATCATTTCACATCTAGGAATAGGATTGCACAAGGAACATTTGACATCTAGGAATAGGATTGCACAAGGAACATTTGACATCTAGGAATAGGATCGCACAAGGATCATTTCACATCTAGGAATAGGATTGCACAAGGATAATTTCACATCTAGGAATAGGGTTGCACAAGGATAATTTCACATCTAGGAATAGGGTTGCACAAGGATCATTTCACATCTAGGAATAGGATTGCACAAGGATCATTTCACATCTAGGAATAGGGTTGCACAAGGATCATTTCACATCTAGGAATAGGATCGCACAAGGAACATTTGACATCTAGGAATAGGATTGCACAAGGATAATTTTACAAGAAAATCCATTTTTCTTTTGGCACGCAAGTGAATAGCACCTTTTCATAATTTATAGTGAGTAAACAACACGATAAGCAGATTTTCTTTCACCACAATAAGACGATTGGTCGGCAATATTGCTAAAAGATTTCGCTGCGCAATGACTCTACCAGTAATTGTAGTCACAACCTTACGATGTGTCAAAGTTTTATGAAAGAAACCTTTTTTTATACCAAATAGTATACACATTTGCCGATCCAGATCACCCCCAGCGACGTTTATTACGTAGGGTTTAGTCCGAGATTTCAATAAACATATACACATTTACACTGATGATGATGATGATGATGATGATGATGATGATGATGATGATGATGATGATGATGATGATGCGTCTTTAGTACTTCTCCCATTTTTCCAAGATCATCAATAATTTTCTGCAAAATGCACAGAATGCACCATGTTGTCCTTGCTAGATCTTAGTTCATTTAAAGTCATCTTAGGTTAAACACTACTTCCCCAAGTATATTTTCTGCCTGCATGTGTGCGAACCCTATAATACTTCCTAATGGGAGCACTATAACGTCCCTATAATCTCCATCAGCCTACTTCTCTCAAAACCTTTTGATAAAGAGTTTTCCACTGTTGTCTCAGGATGAACCCAGCTGTGGGATTTTGATGCAATAACAGAAGAATGGTTCGGTCATTTTTCCAGAAGAAAGTGATTCATTGCCTTTCATGGCTGGATTCCTTTTTGTAATGCATGTAATCCATTGCAGCTATTTTAGAAATAATCATGCTTGATTCTGTAAGATTTCAGGATATTGCTGCAAGTGACAAGTTTCAATTAATTGCCAAAACCTTCCTTCTTATTGATTCTGGTATCAACGTTATTATGAGTTATAGATAAGGGACTAAACTTTGTGCAGCTTGGAAAGGTAAGCGTATAATTGGAATAAATCATATTTCACAAATGCATTCTATCGTCATCAATTGGTGTTAGTATTTCTGCTAAAGAGGTGTTGGAAAAAAATACCTAACTGTCCGTAAATTGACACTTCTACATTCCGTAAAATCAATTAGAATAAAACTAACTGTCGCGCAGCTTTTACGACCATGCATTTCATTGCTTACATTTAATTCATTATGACGATGGAGAATTATTGTGTTTATTGGCATTTTGGTAATTTTTTCATCTTAGATATTAAAAATTACACGAATTTTTTCTCATCAGAAGGGATGCTCTTACTAAGCTCTATAAGCGAGTAAAAGGTTAAGCACATTAGAGTTGCCTCCCTTAATAATTCATGAGTATATGAAAGCAATTTAGAAGAGCAGTTATTGTAACCCCACTGTGCCCCCGCTCGCGTTGTGTTTCCCGAAGAAAAAGCCAAGTCCAAATTCCTTTCTACTGGTTGTTTATATAGCACAGTGAAGTCCACAAGAAGGCTCGCTCCCTATCACGCTTCCGTAGAGTCAGTCCCACAACCGGAAGTTGTCCCTTTGGCATCCCTAGATCCAAGTGCCATGAGCAGCGAAAACTGCCCAGTATTTATAGGGGAAGCCAAAAGTCGGACAACTCCGCAGGTGGAAATTCCTCAAGAACAATGGTTGATCCTGGCGACCCAACCATATCAAGATTCTGTCAAAATTATACCGATTTGGACACAAAATGCAGAATCTTGGCGCCATTTGTTATTGTGTATGGGATAAGTGCTGATGGATTGGGGATGCACATTTAGTGCAACGACCGTTGATTGGTCAATTCCCCAATCCCAGGAAGCTATTGTCTGGAATGACAATTGGTACTACCAGTCTTCAGACCCACCGCATATTGGTCACTATTTACATATATAATAATCAAATACTTAACAATTACGCAGAACCTAACATCTGCTAAATCGGTCATGTTTACCTTACATACTCATAATGCTGTACTAAGCAACTATATACAATTCACTATCTAAACTATTATTTTCTCATGACCTTGAAATATTTTACGTTATAATTATACAATCATCGTTACTCTAACTGTACTGCACTGTTTATATATACACATCACATTTGTTTATATGAATTCTGGCTACCATTGTTTACATAAGTCCCTACTTGGCTATGCAGTGCTGGACAGGTAAAGGTCATATTTGGTGCAATATACTATGTACATATTTAACACTCAATTCCTGTTATAAGCTAAATTTTAAATTAAATCTAAAAATTAAACAACAATAAATTCATGAAAATTATTATTTTCATATTTTAAATTTCCAACCAACATTATATACAATAAAATACTGCTTCCTGTTCATATAACCATTTCCGGTTTAACAACAGAGTGATCTACTTGATAGTGTCACATCATCCCCCTTGTACTGAGATTGCAGGACACTACCACTTAGAAACCGACCTTGCATTATGCCGACATGAAGTGGATGCATTTGTACAACTGATTGAGTTTTGTTTTTACTCTGTTATATAAGAATATCATCAGTTAGCTTATGTTACGATGTTCAAGGCATTGTTGTGCTTCTAGTTTTCTACATGTTTTATATGTCGTTTGACATTAAATGTCATATGTCGCATCGGTATAAAACTTCAATATTTACATGAGTTATACAGACAGTATGATACTTTGAGCGTAACGAATGTCGTTATGTTTGGTGTAACAAAACCGAGTGGCGTCATGATGGGTGGAGTAGGTTAACGAGTGGATTGTTACTAACCAATTTTCTGCTTCTCGATTTCTAAAATAATAATAAAAAACACACACACACACACACACACACACAAAAACAAAAAGTTTATTCCTTTAAGTCATCAAAACCTGACCGCCGGAAGCTTAATACCTAAAATGGAATGAAGTATTTTTCTTGGATGTACAGATTTTTTCCGCTATTTTTTGCATAGAACAAAATATTTAATACTGAGCTGGTATCACTAAATCTATTTCCTCGTTGTTTATATTCTAACGAATATAGACGTAATCGTTAGAGAAAGTTGATGAAAGACTTCAAAACCGACACTGACTCTGACTACATTGCAAATACACAGAATTCAATATATCAAATATGATTATAATATCAAGCATATCGCGAACGCAACACTCTCAATCACATTGCAATTGGTGAAGTAATAAAAAAAACAAAGTTTAACATACATTATATTTCATTTTCACAAGTTTCGAATCGGACAATGAATTTGACCTGTAAATCAAATGATGAAAATATAGTAATTGAAAAATCGAATTGTCAGAGCTCTGAAGGACATGCACCAAAACACCGCATCCATCCTCTATCAGAACGTTGTGTTACATACCTATATAGATGCACCACATCCATCCCCTATCAGAACGTTGTGTTACATACCTACATAGATGCACCGCATCCATCCCCTATCAGAACGTTGTGTTACATACCTACATAGATGCACCGCATCCATCCCCTATCAGAACGTTGTGTTACATACCTACATAGATGCACCGCATCCATCCCCTATCAGAACGCTGTGTTACATACCTACATAGATGCACCGCATCCATCCCCTATCAGAACGTTGTGTTACATACCTACATAGATGCACCGCATCCATCCCCTATCAGAACGTTGTGTTACATACCTACATAGATGCACCGCATCCATCCCCTATCAGAACGTTGTTTTACATACCTACATAGATGCACCGCATCCAACCTCTGTCAGACCTGATAGAAACATACCTACATAGGAAACACGGCAGTTATCCTCTGTCACACCTCTGTTTCATAAAAGATATATCACAGCTAGACCCCTGTGAAGCAAATATTCATAAATGCACCACATGTATGATCCGTTAGATCTCTGTTAGAAATATACGTATAGATACACCTCAGATATGCTCTGTGAGTCATACACACATGCAAAAATCATCACAGCTATACTACGTCAGATCGCTGAGAGGCATACGTACATCACAGCTATACTACGTCAGATCGCTGAGAGGCATACGTACACCACAACTATACTACGCCAGATCGCTGACGATACAGGCATACGTACACCACTGCTATACTACGTCAGATCGCTGAGAGGCATACGTACACCACAGCTATACTACGTCAGATCGCTGAGAGGCATACGTACACCACAGCTATACTACGTCAGATCGCTGAGAGGCATACGTACATATAGAAACCACAACTATACTTTGTTGGATCGCTGGGAGGCATACATACATAGATACACCACGGCTATTCGTTCAATGGCGGGATTCCACTCATATTGTAAAGTCTTTGATCTTGCTGATTCCCAGTAAGCTTGGACTGCCCTATGATAGTCCCCAATAGTTTGGAAACATATCCCCAGGAGAGTGTGAACGATCCATTGTTTTTGTCCTCCATTCACGTCATCATATTGGATATCTTTCAGGTTTTGCAATGCCTTAGCACTTCCTTCGGTGTCTCCGATCCCGTGGCAGCACAGAAAGGTCAAGAACAAGGCATAGGGCAATGGCGGAATTACCAATTGCCTATATTTTCTGCACAACTCTTGACTGAAATGAGGAAGATGCATCCTCTCGTGATGAAATATTAACGACTGTGTGAATATTTTCTGCAATCTTTCAAATCTTTGTGCTATTCGAAGACATTTGTGTCTGTGCACTTCTCGTAGATATCTATCAGAATGATCTGTCTTACATAATGCCACCACTTGTTTGCTCATCTTCAATGATTTACGGAGAGCTCCAGTCAGAAAATGGAAAGTTGCCAAATGCAAAAGTTCCGTACCAAATACCGCAGTAGGAATCATCCAGAGTTCACCTTTCTTCAATCTAAAGTACCTTTTCTTGTTATTTATTGCCGCCATGTTGTCTGGAAAAACTTGTTCTGTCGCTAGTATTTGTAGACATTTCATAGCATAGTGATACGTGTAGATGTCATCAAAGTTTGTCTGAGATGTTGATAATAAATGCATTGCCGCCGTGATAGTTTTGAACGTGACACGTTCGGTCAACAAATTTTTCATTAAACCATCAGTTATTTGTAAATCCTCTTCCAGTACAATTTTCCAAGGAGGTATTGTGCATTGAAGATCTGTTTGTACTGAAGGGTCAGATAAACTCTTCCATATTGGTTCGTAATAGTCACCGACTGACAAGCACATCCATTTCATCTGACTGAGGTGTTTTAAAATGTTCAACAGTATTTGCTGATGCTGTCCATGTACTTTCCTTTTGAACAAGTTATTGGTAGGAATGAAGTAATTAGGACAGAATCCTGCCTTGACCCAAGTGATCAGAATGTTAAAGCAAAACCAGAAACAACAAAATAAGTTTTTGTCTTGCCAAAACATATTACTGGAATTCTCTATTGCATGAAAAAGAATTGTTTTCATGAAATAGGAGCATAGGATGTCATCGTCCCCAATGTTTTCTTTTAATGCGTCTTTTATTTGTCTCAAAAAGTACTTGAGCAAAACATAAACTTTGTGTTGAACATGACTAAAGGAGTAGACTAAGGATTTCTCTGCTGTTACAAAAGAGATCCTCCATTGTAAAGATGTATCATCAGAACACTTATCTCCGACTGGGACAAGATGACATCCGCTCTGTACAATTTTGTTTATCAATGTTTGACGCGGCCATCCATACAGACGTGAACGTGTGACCCATTCTCTATCCTCCTTTGGCCAACTTTTACATTCAAACCCAAAGACACTGTCACCTTCTGTTGATGCAACACTAGGCCCTGTTATTTCGAAATTGACGCCTAAGTTTGTCCTTAAGAGATCCATCTGTTGCTCTCTGTAAATATCACTAGATACAAATATTAAAGAGTCTTTTCTAACGAGCGAATTATATAATCTTTCTTCTTCCTGGCTTTGTCCTGCCTTACCAAGCTCTAAGTTGACATAGCCTGGGTTGCAGTCTGCCTCTCTCATAAAAAGAATTGTTTTGTGTGCCATGTTTGGAGGAATACGCTCATCAGGGTACATCACCTTCACTGTTCGGTTTATTATCATATAGTCTCCATCTGAACAAGGTAAAGCCATGCCTTCTCCTTTACTTCCACACAAAATAATTGCATTATGAAGATCGGTGTCAGAATTTTCTAACTGTTCACCTAAAACCTGTGACCTTATCTTCATATTTAGCTGCTCTCGTGTCCCCATGACAAACCGGTCCATATATGTTGAAAGAAGCAAGGACATCTCCTCACTGTGTTTTGGTTCCATCGTTCAGTCATAGGATTATATCTGTAAATAAAACATCAACGTTATGATTTTTTTCACCATGACCAGCTGTTTGCATTTTGTAATTTTATAACTTTGAAAGAAGATGCTGCTGCACGAATTGTGTTTTTAGTACAAAACGTTCAATTGCAACAGATACAAATATTTTATTCCTGTATAAGATACTGATTAACCAATCAAACCTAACATCGGTTTGGCATATCAAGATGTGATTGCAACATTTGGGTTCAATTATAACATTACAGCACACAGCAAACAGCAAATATAGTTTCCAAACAATAAACAGACGGTGTAGTTGACCTCCGGTGTCAACGGCTTTCAACGGCTTTCAACGACTTCTAGGATGAAACCCATCAAAGCTTGTGAAAGGCAATGACCATGACCAGTATTCAAGATAACATGAGCCAAATTTATCAAAATGTTTAAATAACTTTCTCAATACTCAATATGCCTAGATTAATGATATTTGACCTGATGGTTGATTGGGTGAACGCCAACAAATTATAGGAAAACAAATACACTTGACTCATATTCAAAGCCATGTTGTCAAATATGTTAAAACCAATAAACAACTTTTCTCAGTATTCTAAAATCCAAGAATCACGATATCTGATTTGAAGGTTCCTTGGATGTAACTCGATTTGAATTGCCAAGAGAAGCGACATTGACCATTATCCATGGTCAAAGAAGTCAACTTTGCTAACACTTCCAAGCGACTTCTTCTCGATATTACAACGCATAAGAATCTCGATATTTAGCCAGAAAGTTACTCGTCGGATGAACGCTGACAAAGGTTGCGAAATCAAATGACCTTAACCTTTATTCAAAGTCACAGGATCTATACTGATAGTAAGTACTGGAAGGTTCTTGGGACAAAGCTCAACACGTACATTAATATTAATGTTCAAGTGTCAAATTTGTCAAAGGATTTTTTCTGATATACTATAAGACTTATCATGTTATTTGGCTCATAGGATGAATTCCAACAAAGTTCGGAGTGTTTTTTACCTTTACCCTTATTCAAGGTCACAATACATTCAATAACTTGCTGCTAATGAACCAAAAGACTGAGAAACACACTTGGCTGATAGGTGTCTGGGATGAAGCTCAGCAAAGTTTGCGAAAAGATAGTACCTTGATGAACCGTAATCAAGGTCACAGTTGTCAAATATTCTAAAAAAAAAATATTTTTGATTGATCACAAAGCCTAAAATCAAAATTCTTTGCTGTAAGATTACTGGGTGAATGTTAACTAAGGTCAGCAGATTAAAATTTGCTAAAACCTTCAGAAAACTGTTTCTATTGATTTAAATTGCCGCCAATATGAACTTGATTAGATTTTAAGATAAAGCTGATCAGAGTTTAAGAAACGACATAAAATCACGTTTAACAATATTCAATGTCACAAGGAACATTTTTGAAACCAGGAAAACTGTTTCTACTTATTCACAAAGAGTACGAATGCAAATGATGTGAAATGTTATGTATTTGTGAATAAATGTGAATACCTGGAGAACGTTGATTGATCATGTTTGACCAGGGCGGGTTTCGTCGATTAAGTCTTATTCTCCATGTTCGTTATCATGATTTTCGTTTATATCTTTCTTTTGTTAATATCTTGTCTTACTTCGACAAAAACAAAAGATTTTTCCGTCCGTCCGTCCGTCCGTCCTCCAGCGTTTTCAATCTTCGCGTGAAATACAACAGACCTTGGTCACCAATCTGTACTGGTTATTCACAGGAAATTCTGTTACATTCTACCAAGAAAAAACTGTGAACAACAGATAACGGATGGAGAACCATAGCAATACCTCAGTTAGCCATCTGGTTTAGTAAGCTTAAATCATTCTTCTTTTGTAGGAATAATTGGATTTTGTGCAAATTTGGTCTGAACATCGTTGGGTTAAAAGGACACAATTTTATATGAATGGTTAGTCTGGTCTTCTTGGGGTCCTAGGAGTTGGATCCAATAGGAGAAGAAAAGTAATTACTTTTAAAACCCTTGTCCAAATTTTGTCGAAAGCATCCTTTTGTAATGAGGATTCATTTTTTTTAATAAACGATGGATCTGGCCCCTCGGGACCCAGCAGGGGAAATAAATGAATCACTTTGAATCCGTTCTTTTGTAGAGATGAAATCATAATTTGTTAAGATGCTTCCTTACAGGAAGACGACCCAATTGTGCATAACATATAGCTTTGCCTATTTGAGCGTAAGGGGCGGGCTTAAAGGTGACATAACAAATTTCTTTAAAACCTTTTTGTCTAGGAATGAGAATATTTTGTCCAAATTCAGTCTGAAGCATTTTTGTAAACACGATGGGTTCTATCACATTTGGACTTAGAGGAGCGGATCCCAATAAGCGAATTGCTTTTGATCTTTTTTCTATGTGGATAAAGCTATTTTGACCATTTTTGCATAAGCGTCCTTGAGGAAGAGAGAGTAATTTACATATGAATTCTCTGTCTCTGCTATAATGGGTTAGAAGGGTAAGGTCACACATGGGTAATTGAACCAATTCTTAAACCTACCTCTTCATCTAAGGAATGAAAGAGCAAAGTCTGAACCGTCCTTTGACGAAGGGAACTCAATTTGGTATACACGATAAATCATCACACTTATTGGGGCTTAAGGCTGTGGCCCGATAAGACAGCGATTCAAAAGCATCTCAATTTGATGTAAATCAAAGGATCTGAAGAAGGGCGGAATGTTATATGGGAAAAAGAGGTTAAATTTAAAATCCTTTTCTCTTCTACTTGGATGAAGGTATTTTGTTAAAAGTAAGTTTGAGCTTTAAAATGGCTTCGAAAGTATTCGTCTTTTGGGGAAATGTTACAAATAAAATAGCTAAAAGGTTCGAAGTGAAAGATATGCAAAACATGACCCATTGGCCTCTTTTTGGTATACTGATATTACCAGACTTTACCTCCTCTTTCAGAGAGTGGAGAGCTGACGTACAATGCTTTTGGTACTTTGTGCCATACACATGGCACTGTGGTCGTCTATGGGATATTATATCATTGGACAACCTTGGATGCAATTTAAGGAAAGAAAATAGTTTATTAATCCTGTGGAAGGTTGAGAGAAGAGAACATGACGTATGTGATGAATACAGTATTCACAGTATTCCATCTGTCATTCTGAGAAAAGCTTGCAGCTTACGATAATTATTATCAAAATAAATAAACTAACGTATATTTCAGTCTACTCTGTTGTTTGCATAGGGACTAGAAATTGTGTCATATATTATGCTTAGAGTTAACGAAACATAAGGCTGATGGCAACATAGCACATACATGTAGCTGGTGAACAATAAACTACACGATTATTTACAAAGCTTTACGTGTTTATCTGGATGCTTGACTCCGACAGTACACTAAAAAAATCTTTGCTAGTTAAGGCTGGTGTACCGATATACACATCAGCGGTCTACTGATCAAGCTATCTGCATGCCCTATATAGTGTACAATTAGGAAGTAGTGGTTAGTATCATCGCAAAACCCAGACAATAAACATAGATCTACATACAATTTCATACCGACATTTTAAACGTGGCCTTGATATAGTGTAACATACAACAACAAAAACATAGCAGTGGTTTGCTGCCAAAATCGAATGGACGCTAAAACGTAAAAACAAAAAAAAAAAAAAAACAAAAACAACAACACCGTGAATCAATTGGGATATGTCTAAATGATATTGACAACATACAAGAAATGTGTTCAAAACAAACGAACCCCTAATATTCCAGTTATATTCCAGTTATTCGTTACGCAAGCTATTTTTCCTGACATGGTATAAGCTATTATGCTATGCATTTCAGCTATATATGAATTATGTTGTTGTGATATTTGGTAAATGAATAATCGTAACTCTAAGGATTATTAAATTTGGAGCATAACGCACCAGTTAATGACTGACAGAAGTTTAATTCTTTTTCATGGTAACACCACTGGACTTTGGTTTGATGAAGTATAAATTGTTTGATATCATATCTACCTGTGTCCGATGTTGAATATCCTCCGGACAATGTGTGCCTACTTCACATGTACAATAATCCCATATACGCTGTGCTGTACTGGTGTAATTAGTGAGGAAACTGAAAGAGAGTGTAGTGGCCGTGGAGAATTTAAAGGAAGTACTGTACAAGCCGTGGACCTCCTTAACTAGGTCAGTTATCCGGTTACTTCTTTCTTTTAGACAACGTATTACTTGTACATCTGAAAACTGTATACATTGACAGTAGCAAGGCCGTGTTACAAATTGCAAATAGGGGCCTCAGACAGGGACTATAACAGCTATGTTTAATTACAATTTCAAATGTAACAGAAATAGAAAAGAAATTCCAGATGGATTTTTATTTTCATTTGTTCTTTGAAAGTTGTATCGTTGCCTTTGTTTCTCATCTTTCCTCTTATCTGATCTTAATGATATGAAACAGCAATAGCAAGACTTCAAGAATATAAATAAAAAATACAATATGGTCGCCTTTCATTATTTGGTTTTTCTAAAGGGCACAAGATGTTCGCCCGTCAGCAATTTTGTTTGTCTCATTAGTGAAAAAAATCAAAAGGGTGGCCACTAGGGACCATGGTAAACTACATATGAAATTTGAGAAAGCTCCATCTAGCATTTCTGAAAAAATATCGATAACAAACTTTCATAGCAATAATCTGAGATGGCCGACTGTCAGTCATTTTGTTTGACTAATTGGCTCCAAATCTAAAGAGTAGGAACCAAAATGTACCTACATTTTATATCTCAATCTGAAAAAGATCCATCAAGTAATTCTCATAAAATAGTTTCATAGTAGAAATTTGACATAGCCCATTTTCAGACATTTTGTATTTCTGATTACTTCCAAGATCAAAAAGCAAATTATAACTGTCAACAATCAATATGGCTGCCTGTCGGCCATCGTGTCGTTTGATCAATCTCAAAACAACCTATGCAAAACTAAGGATCAAGTAAAACATGAAGTTTAGGATAGTCTGACCCATCGAAAAATTCTCCAGAAATAGCGACGACAAACTATTACTATAAAATTTCAAAACAATCGTCTGTCGGCCAATTTTGCTGTTAGGATTAATCACAAAATAAGATAAAGCATAACTAGGGATCAAGGTGAGTTTACTAGTAATACTCCTCAAATATTGATAACAAACTTTTTCTATCGAAATTAAAGATGGCCGCCCATCGGACATGTTGTTATTTTCTGACCTATCTGAAAATAGGACAATGCATAACTAGGAGAACCTACGTATGAAATTAGAGAATGATCTGTTCAGATAACGATAACATTATTTTCTTTGGTAAAAACGAAGATGACTTCATTAAAAATACTCAGTAGTTAATCAGTGATTCTCTCCAAATCGCCGTCATTTCAACTCAGTAACAGCTTTAAAGCATTCTTCCGAGATGGCGGCTATGGTGTCAGTGTTAGATTACGGTACGAGTCGGATAAAGAACGTTCAGGACCGTAACTGAATCATTTCAGTCAAGGATCAGCTAAAGTCCGACTGATCTTGAGAATTATAAAATAGATGTCGTTAAAAAAACATGAATGAGAAAAGGAGACCAAAAATAATGATGAACTTCATTAATGTTTCCAACTGCAATCATGAGATCAGATACTAAAACACAGCGGTTGCTAATTGATTTTCTACACTGTGGCTAATAGCGAGACGTCATGATTGAATACATCAAACCATCTGTGACGTCACATACCTGTTGCTATGCTGCTTAGCAATCGACCAAAGCGGAGACGATTAGTCAACCCTTAAAAGATTGTTTTATTGTTAAACGGATTGCCACCATGGATATTAGGTTATTTCTGCACTGACAATATAATTATCTTAGTATTCACTGGGAGTAATTCGCCAAGTCCTTGGTATATCAAAAGTAATATTATCTTTAGGATATAATTTGCAAACGATAAACCATTGGTTCCATTCAAAATGTATCCAACTTGAATGTTTCTATACAATACTTAACATATGATTACAAATATCTGAACTTCCAGTGAATGAAAAACCCTGGTGAGAAAAGAATGTGTAAGAATTAGTAAGAGTTGTATCCCTTTAGTTGCAATAAAACACGATGATGTTTGAAACGCGTGAAAAATTTAAACACACAACATATTGTACACGCCTTTTTTTTGTCTAGCGCATGAATGGCAGATGAAATAAATCTACCTTGTAAGTATGTTATCCTATAGTATATTGAATCATTGATAAGAAAGGCACATGTTTAAATCGTTAACAAGGAAACGACATGAATGTGTTCGTGTATATTCATTGGATACCGGACCTGTAATATATATCTTGAATAAAAGACTGATTATTCTCCACTGTATGCTTATTTTTCCGGTATCAACTATTTGTCATGTTTTGTAAAGATATTAAAATCAGTTCGAAGTCAATTGAACAAGGAACTGCAAGGCAACGAATGTCACGTCTGTTACAATCTTGCGCATGTCAATAATTCTTGTTAAGAGGATGTTTAAAAATATGTATGTAAAAACAGCGGTGATTTAATGTATTAAATGTGGCGACGACCTAGGATTGGTGGGTTCACGCACTACAGTTAATTAGAAAGAATTATCCTATTATGAATGTATATTTTAGAATACTTATTTATAAAATCACATGACGGAATATTACTCTCTCCTGCATCCGGATTAAGTAGTCGTTTATCCGGATTGTAAAAACGTTTGCTTGCGAGCGTTTGTTTTATTATTGATAAATTAGTTTTACTCTAAACGCCATAATACGTGTCTATTACGGACGAAATCGATTTTGAAATATTTTAAACAGTACATGTAGACTGGATACTGCATATTCAATTCTTATCTCAAGCTCGAGTTACAAAACCGGAAATGGGATGGGACGATAAAATTTCAAATGTTACTTTTTCTAAGTATTACTCTTATTTTCCAGACTCTTAATCATATCTCGACTGTCAGAAAGTGTCTGACTTATCTTTGGATGGACTGAAAATCCACGAATCAATTTCAAAAGTCACTCCCGAAGGTCAAATTACGTTCGTTTATGTGTGTGTGTGTGTGTGTGTGTGTGTGTACATACTACCTGTATATGTGTAACTTTTCACTTTTTTTTCTTTTTCTTAAGAAGTTTAGGCAATGGAAAGATCTTAAGAGTCAGGCCTTGCTGGCTGTTTATTATTACTGGTATAATTCTATCCATCTTTACTTTATCAACTTTCAAATTTATTGATCATTGATTTGAATGAAACTTTCCTGATAGCTAATATTAATACAATGCTAATATAAGCTTATTGATAGCTCAGGTACATATAAGGAACGACACTGCAGTTCGTCGAAAGCCATCTTTTTTTTTAACTCAAAGCAAAATTTTGATGTCCCCCCTACTCAGTCAATTTAGCTTCGTGAAATGTGTCGACACAAGAAACCAGTACACACATAAAGCTAACTTAATGACAAAGACTTCTATCCATGTTTAAATATCGAGGATTTATATACAGTATGAATAACGTTGTAAACAACACCTATTTTCATTCATTCATTCATTTGTTCATTCGTTCGTTCGTTCATTCATTCATTCATAGAAATTTCAGGGTTTACTACCAAATGTCGTTAGTGATCTATGCTAGTAAATATGTAAATGTATCCAAGCTCGTAAACAATGCAAACAAACATAAAAAAACACAAAAAAAAAAACAAGAAATAAATAAGCATACATAGGTTTACAAACAAAAGAATGGAGTAGAATGTTAACGGAGAAATGAATAAGATATATATATATTTGTGTTGCGTAAGTACCCTGCAAACACTTAGTGAATCGAGAAAACAATACATTTTTTAAAAACAGCCTTTAACATAACACTTTACCAACTATGAGATAGTTTGTAAATCTCCATAGAGTTTGGTGGGCAACTCACAAACGACGCAATACTGCTAACAGAATTTTTTATTAATGTAATTTATATGTAAAACGAAACTAAAACATTCTAAAACCTTGACACCGATATCATATGCGTTCTTACTCATCCGTGAAGTACAGCTGTATTTTAAAAATTCCATTTTTTATTTTTATATTATAGATAATATCCCTTTACCTGTCCACTGATGTCTAGATTTAAACAAGAAAGACGAATACTGTCTGTATTGTACAAAAGTGTTTTATTTGTATAAAGAGTTGTTAAGAAAACACATTAATAAATTATATAAGAAATATTTGAAAAACCATTTTGTGTATTTTTCTTGTCTTTTATTTATTCATTTTTCATCCTTTTGTTATAAATTTTGTGAAATCATTTTTAATCACACATCAGTTTTGAAATATGCCTCAATCTCAGATCTTTGCCACATGACCTTCAGTCTATATTTAGACACGGAATGTATATCAATGGTATTTATAGGTAAAACCCGTTTTATATCTGTGCCGACACACTTACTGAGTGCTGACACAGCTGGGATGGGTCAGGAAGTTCATACACGAGTTTCCGGTATATATGAGAAATATGAAACGAGTCCAACATTTTTTTTTCATTGAATCTCTATTGAGGTAAACTGAAAAATTCCTCACGTTTATAATTTCACAGTCTCTACCCTCAGAAAGCTCCCAATGTCTCAACGTTTACTATCCAGATAACGTATAAAGCATACAAGCTGTACATGTCTCTTGGACCCTGTTGTTTTAATTAGAGCCCACTTTTAGAAATGTGTTAATATTTCATGTTTTTTTCACAATATAGGATTACATCGACATATTGAGTTAAGTACTTTCAAGTTTTGAATTTTTGTTATCATTTTATCGCTCCCCTCCCCCAAACCCCACCACTCTCTCTCTCTCTCTCCCTCCCTCTCTCTCGGTTGGTTATATCATTTTGTTTTAGTACAATATGATACTATTATATACTCTTAACGAATTAACAGCAAAATATCTATCCACTTCTCACAAGAGCAGGTCACAACCTGTTGTAAAGTATTCATGAACTTAAACTTCCTTCAAGTGACATAAACATGTATGAATTCTCGCATTCTTAAATTTGAAGTGCACTGAAAGTGACAACTCAGTGAAAGTTGG